GCTCACACGGCATGCTAAAATTTTAGGACTATCTACGTCCGGAATTGGATCATTATCTCATCATTGAAGCAGAAAGCTTGTCGGGCTTTATTCAAACAGAAAGCTTGTCGGGCTTTATTCATAAAACGTTTGTCACTAACTGGAAAGTAAGGACATTTACTCAAGAAATGTTTGTTGTTAGGTCGGTTGGCTTGTCCGCACAAAAGGAAAAAATTATTTTATTTTAATTATTTCTATTTTCCGTTTGCATTGCTACTCAAATGTGGCTTGACCTCGACTACATTTTGCAATATTTACATTTATTTGGAGGCCATAACTTAAAAAGTAATTGAGATATTTTTTTTCTGTAAAGTTTATCAAAGAGAGCAGATATCAAGATTTTATCTTTAGAAATAGCGAAGTTATGCTATAGTATCAGGTTGTATTTTCACCTAAAACGTGAAATTTTGTCAGGCTAAAATATGGCATAGCTTTCTTATTTTTTAATATTTTTTACTTCTGTTTTCACTTTTTAAATCTACTAGGACATACAAATCCACCTGCACTTTACTTCATAAAGTCTATTTTCTGTTTGCATTGCTACTGTAACGCGCGAACAGTCTTTGCGTTGGAAAAATCACTAACAGGTAATTTTAACAAAGTTTTTGTTGAACTTTTGAATCAGTTCTGTACTTGGTAACTGAAATCCCAGCTGCTGCCACCACGCCAGTCAGTAATAAGGCACACTTAAAGGGAAACTCTTCAAACAATGATGTTAGATATTGTAAAGATGGCGGTTTTACAGTATGACAATAATAATGAATGGAGTTACCTGCACGTGCAGGGGAGGTAATTAAACAAGTACAATTCGTACACATAAGAATAGTTCAGACTAATACGTAACTACCATGAGCGTAGGCTACTTTAGAAATATTTTTCACCCGTCAGGTATAATATACGGCTTTTTTTAATGAAAACTTATTACAAAAAAGCAGAATACCCCTTTAATTGTTTTGTTTTAGCGAAATAAAAAGATGTTGCCGAGTCAGCCTCAATATATCATATTCTTTTCCAATTTAGAACTAAAGGACGAAAGAAACATCTTTAAATCATTTAGGAACTATTCTACCAGCTGGTCTTTGACCAAGCCTCTTCTGGGTTATCCGTAGCCTACCTTGGTCTACTGGAATAATGAATGAGAATGACTTTATCATGATAAAGGCCATCGTACTTATTCTCAGAAACGGGAATATTTAAGTCAAGCTTATCAACGTCGAAATTTGAGCTCCAAATATGTGCTTGTCCAGAATTATCTGTGTTCGAAGGCTAAAATGACGACTCGTCTTTTAGCTCTGAATAGGCCCTACGTGTATAGGCTTTAGAAAATCTAAATATAGAAATAAAGAGTGAAATTTCTAGGTTGAGGTAGACTGTTTGCATAATATATTCAAGAAAATGGCCCCAAAAATGCTCTTCCGAAATGTGGAAATAGAATTCACTATAAACAATGTCCATGTTAGATGGACTCGATATTGGTTTTGTCAACAATTGCTGCGTTCACAATGAAAACGATTTCATCGAATTGGCTTTCGTTATACTTAGGCCTATATAGGAATAGCGCATTAAATTTTTAAGGGTCACAACTCACAACATACACTCTGAAGCCATTCGATGCGGTACAAAACGTATCACACCGACACAGCTCTTAGTCTTAGGCTACCCGCTATAAACCAAATCGCCAAATCTTCTCGAAGGACGATTTGGCGATTTGAATTAGGTATGACGTCATAAACTATCATGGCGGCTAATTTTTGTACAGATGATAATTTTAACGTAGAATATGACGGAGTCGTCTATGTTATGAATCCAGAGCAAGTTACACGTCTTACTAATGGTAATGTCAAATAATATATCCTAGCATTCATCTTTTTGATGTCATTGACAAAAATAGGCTTGGCCTGGCTTTAACATGACCTTACATGAACTTCAATAATGATGTCAAGAAGTAATAAAGAGAGGTAACATAGCATAGCCAAAGTTTTCCCCTTAAAGTTTTATGTTTTGCGGCGGCGGTGTATTTACTTATAAATCATCTTTCTTGGTCAACTATTTTTGAAAATAAAAACGTAATAATTGAAAATCTAGTAGGCCATCTCTATCTATCATCTATTTTTTATTGTTTTATTTTATAGATCCAAAGTCTATTGTCTATTGCAGAGAACAACAGCCTTAGAGATACAGGGTCTGATAAAGAAATGGTTGCTTGTTCCAAATCTCTAACTTCATGCAGCACAGCTAATTCCAATAGTTCCAGTATCGGTTCTAGTACATGTATGTCAAAAGAGGCAACTTTGCTCCTGATAGAAAGACACAGAAAATATCAGGACCTGTTCAACAAACCATCTACAAAAAAGAAATCAGTATGGGAAAAAATTGCTTCAGATTTGTCTGAATTGGGATACGGCTATACATGGATTCAGTTGAAGAACAAATGGAATAATTTATTATTAAACTACCGCAAGACCAAAGATGCAAATAATAAAACAGGAAATAGCCCAAAAACATGCCCGTATTATGAAGATCTCGACGATTATCTTGGTTGTAGACCAAATGTGGAACCAGTGTGTTTGATGTCTAGCATAAAGAAAAGTCAAGCGACTCCAAGTACAGCATCTAATTCTGCATCTCCTGCCTCACCATCGTCTGAACCAATTATGCCTTTAAATAATGCAGATTCCAACGACACTGTTAATCCCACTGCACAGCCCAAGAAAAAAAGGCAAAGGATAACCCCAAGGACGGAAAAAATCCTTGCTGTACTTGAAGCTCACGAGACACCAAGGAAAGAGGATAATCAGAAACTGTTGCAAGAAATGAAGAGTCAGCACGACGAACAAATGAAATTTGAAAAAGAAAAGCTGGAGATAGAAAAGTCAAAAATTGATATTTAGAAAGCTGTTGGAAAAGAAGTAATTTGATTGATTTTGATTTTTGAATATGCTGTAAAATACTTTCTGTTGATTACACAGACTTGATACAAAGATTTGAATATTTGGAACAGACCGGTGAATAGTGCTGTAAATTTACAAGAGTTCTCCATTTTGTTATTATTTTGTATATCTGTATATTCAAATCATACCCATTTTGAGTTTGTATTTTGTGTTGCTCACACATTGGCACGTTTTGGTAGATTATTAAAACGTTTTATTAAGATAAGATCTGCATAAGGGCTTGTCGTTTTTCTTGAGCAGTGACTGTTGGCTGCTGGGGTTGTATTACAGTTGGTTCGCATAAGTCATCGTCTCCATTTTGGGTCTCCTCCAATAAATCGTCGCAAAAGTCTCCCGTTGCTAAACAAACGTTGTGTAACACAAAACAGCTCGAAATAAAAGCCACGACTTTATTCATATCCAGCATATCAATATGCTTTAATCGACGAAATCGACCTTTTAGAATTCCAAAAGAGTGTTCAATTTTCATTCGAGTCGAACTATGTTTAAAATTATATAACTTCTGTTCTGGAGTTAGCCTTCCATTATCTCTAAAAGGAACCATGAGATATTCCTCTAGAGGATATGCTGAATCACCTATTATGTGACAATTTTCTGGCATTAGGTTGTTTCTTTCCATTTCTAAAGCATTACGCAAGGGTGAATTTTGGAAAACACGGGCGTCATGAGTGGAGCCTGGCCATCCAACATGAATATCGGTAAAGAAATGCTCATGATCACAAACGGCAGCAACATTTATTGAATGGTAGCTTTTTCGATTTATATAATTTTCCGGATATTCAGTCGGTGCTTTTATTGGTATATGAGTTCCATCGATTGCCCCTAAAACTTTAGGGAAACCCTGTGTGTGCTCAAACCCTTCCGTAACTTCACGAACCCTCAATCCTACAGGCCACTGAATGAACTTTGGCATTAATTCTTTATTGATTATCTCAGATAACGAACTCACAATATTACAAACTGTTGCCTCGGATATACCAAAAACATCGGCTACTCGAACCATAGGGTTCGCAGTACCTGCGATTATACGGGTATGTGTGTATCTCTAATGTATTTGATTTTGATGTAGGGTTCGATAAATTGATTAAGCTTTTTATAAGTTGATGGAAGCATTCGGAATCTGGCCCGGAATTCTTCATCACTATACTCTGGTATTGTTCTAACTGTGTAGTCTAATATCCTGGGAACGTTTCGAGTCTTCAGATATTTTATTACTTCTGTTTTCAAATAATAGACAAGAAAAGTTCATCTTCTTTTTGATAATTCTCTGAATCATCCGCCATTTTGGATCCTTAAAACACGTATTTAACAAACATATCAAATCGCTTTGAATTTGGGCTAAATCGAATGTGACGTCATTGAAATCGTTTTAGAAATCAAAATCGATTCAAGCAGTTGTTAAATATGTTTAATCTCCCTCAGCAACCTATCACTTAAACTACTGACAGAGGGTGAAGGCATTTATTCAAGGATTGGCGCGTGAATCAACATGATCAAGGGATGCCGAAAGAATATGGTAGAATTCGACTCTTTCGAAGAATGTGACAGAATTCAACATATTGCCGTGCAGTGGTGGGCACGACTAAGAGAGCATCAATGACGGCAGGTTGACTATGATGGCATTCATACTATGCAATGCATGTAGCTCCAGCAGGTTGTAGCATGTTGAGCAGGTTTTCGCCATGTCGTAGAACAGAAGCGAGTGTGTAAATTGCTACTGCGCATGCCAGAAATGTATTTATATCGCGATAAGCCGATCACACTCGCTGTCGGAAAGCGCTGGATAACCCACTTCTGTTAAAGCGGCTTCAACAATTTTATCGGCTTTAATGTTTAAATGTGGTTTATTGAAACTGGTGGAAATGGGTCCAATGTACGATTTGTCATATGGCCGGGGTACGGATTGATACATAGAGGCGAAAATTACTTTCCCACAATGCATTGATAAGTCACCTGATATTTCACTTCCGGATCAATAATCAGCACGTTAGAGGAATACAGAAGACTACAATGACTGAACTAAAGACCTACAGATTAGAAGAAATTTCTAAGCATAAGACTGCCAAATCAACATGGCTCGTTATTCATGATGAAGTTTACGACGTGACCAAATTTTTAGAAGAGGTATGAATTTATGTTATGTTATTGTAGCTCCCCAAATTTCAAGACTGATGTCATGTAGGCCTACTCATTGTTGAACTGAAGTGAAGGAAGAAGGAGTCGGTCATCAATGTAAATATAATGAATGAATAAGCATTATTTTGTAACTGTGGAGACTGTAGATAATTTTTCGTTAAGCTGTTAGAAAACTACTGTATACATTTGAGTAAAATAAACGTAAATATGTATTCTAAAGGTCTCAAATAATAATATCAAGCCATTATAAAGCCAAACACCAAAACATAATTCAGATATAGAAATCCCTGCCTTTAATTAAACCTTTTAAAGCAAATGTAGTTTGATTAAGATACTAAGAAATATTTTCATGTATAATTTACGATGTTTTTGATAATGAAAACATTTTACAAAAAAGCAGAATAAAGTTAAAGTTTTCAGTCTTAAGCTATCATTAATGTTTGTGAGTCTCTCATTTCATTGGAATATAATGTAACTTAAGTAAAGTCTTAAGCCCAACGCAGACGAGGAACATTTCTGTCGACGAACATAAACATCGAACAAATATATTTGTTTTCCGTCATCCGCAGACGACAAACATAATTCCGCAGACGACGAACATTCGGCTCGAATCCAGGGCTTGTGTTATTTCTTGCATCGCAGTGTACTTCTTGTTTCTATCTGAATAGTCAGACGAAGAAATCATAAACAAACAGGCAGATTGCGACCACATATCTACTAAAAATCTGCTCCTTCTCCACAGTCCAAAATTTTGTGTTGGTGGATTCACGGGACGTCGCGATTTTGAGTGTCATGTGGTCTGGCTTCGATCGCTGATTGGTCTTTCGTCGATAAATGGTGGGCGCTAATGTTCGTGGTTAACGCAGACTGCGAACAATTTTAAAAAACTCAAACTTGTTTGATTTCACGAACAATTCTCACGAACATTTTTTGTTTGTTCATGTTTCTGTAATCCGCAGACGGTGAAAAAAATAATTGAAACAAAATTTTTACGATTGTTCGCTTAAAATGTTCCTCGTCCGCATTGGGCTTTAGTGTAGATGATTTAAACAGCATTTTTCTATATAATGTTGGTACGATCTATTTCCTTCTAGATGCTCTAGAATTTTATGTGTATTACATAATATTAAATCTAGAATAAGGATCAAGTTCTCATTTTCAAGAGACCTTACCCTTGCTGAACCTACTTATTAACTCCTGTAATCTTGCATCTTCAGCAATAGTATAGAATGTAGATATGATGGAGTTGATTGGTTTGGGAAAAATTTTTTTATGAAGATCGGCCTATATGACCAAAAAAATTAGTTCAAGATGTAAATTTCTCATTTCATCAACATTCCAAAGTAGGCCTGTTTGAATGTGGTCCACTATCTTATTGAAGTGAAAAAAGGGACAATTGGTTTTGGGTCAGTACACAAAGAGGTTCATTTTCCTGCTTGGCCATTTTGAGGCTGAAAATGAACTCTCAGATCTGCTGTTTGGTTTAGTAAAGCATTTAATATTATGAGAACTATTTCTGGTAGCAAGGGGTTTTTATTCTGTTAATTCTGTTAATTTTGATTCTTAAAGTGATACTACGTCTTGGAATGAATATAAATTTGGGTTCTCGAAAAGGTCAATGATAGTCTATATTCATCAGTGAGCTTACCTGTTGTCATAAAGTTACAACAGAATCCCTGTAAAATCTGGAAAATTCATATAAATAATTAATTTTGAAAAACTCTTAATCTCGATATTAAGCGTTTTCAATAGTTAATTGCATATTCATGGATAATTACTAAGTTTTTGGATTTATCGGGTAATATAAGGATCCTGTTATGTTTTTTATGACACAAGGTATATCTATTGGCTCTTATTCGCCAAGTTTTATCTTGTTAATTCTAAGAAGTAGTATCACTTTAAGCCAACAGTCATAGCTATGGTTCATTCATCACAATAGTCAACCATGCGTGACTGGTGGTCACAGTGCAGTAGCTCTTCTCAGCTGTTGTCTCAATAAATGTATTTGATCAGTCATACTGGATGTAGTTTTCAGTATTTTTAGTGAGTTTGTTGCACATATTTGGTGTGAATACAATTGTCTTCTCATGTGAAATCACTAAATGTAGCCTAATTTAAAGTTGTCTTGAATAGCGCACCAGTTTTAAAGGCTTGCACTTAATACATTTTTGATCTATGTTAATGTTGAACATATAGTTTCCATGGCATTGCTGTTTGGCAGAAAGGATGAGCTGAAATAATAAAAAAATAACAGCAGTAGATATTCGATTCATTACTTCATTCTCTTATATCTATTTATAAAATGCTCTACCTACACACTTTGTCAAGTATTTGTGTAGGCCTATCTAATGATAAAAATATTGATAATAAAACTAACTAATTAGTTTAATAAGTCTTCACTTGATTTATTTATAGCACCCTGGAGGTGAGGAAGTATTATTGGAACAAGCAGGTTAGTACGATGAAATAATATTTACTCCCCGATAAGTGCTCTCAATTTGTCTATATCATTATGTGACTTTGATAATGAGCGTTATGTTTTTGCTGAAAAACCAGAGAAATTTAATATTTGTTTTTATGGTAGAATATGTAAAATTCAATACCAATTTAAATATCCTAGTTTCCCCAACTATATTGATACACTCTCGTGAAATGTGGAACGTATATTGTAGTGATCCATGTCTGTCAGTCTGTACCACAATTGTTCGTTAACACCCTATTGGGCACAATTCTGAAGAAACTTGGTATTAGTGTAGAATCCACAGCTGCCATTTGCTTTTAACATAAATGTGCAAATGATGTTAAGAACCAACACTCTAACTGATTGTACTACAGAACTTTACAGTATGAACTCTATTGAAATCATTAAAATAGAAAAATATTGATATGAGTTATTGCCCTTGTTCTTGAATACATGTTCAATTTTTAGGTTTTTAGACACTTTTGAAGGCACAATGCTTGGCGATATGATGCAGTGGGGTGAAATTGTTTATTGTCACATGAGGATGAACCCTTGTACAAATAAAAGAATTTGAAAATTGCTCTCTTTTGAAAATGGATTCAAAGTTTAGCTCGTAAACATCCTAGAAGGAAGACTTTGGTAATCTTGTGCATTATCACTCAAAAAAGTTCAAAAGAAATATATGAAATGAATATATTTCATACTAGTGATTGTTACATTACTGCCAAATATTCTTATTTAAAATCAAAGCTGCCAGTGACAAGATATCTTTATAACAATTCTATTATTAGGTGGAGAAGCTACAGAATCATTTGAAGATGTTGGCCACTCTACAGATGCTAGAGAATTAATGAAAGAGTATTTAATAGGAAAAGTACATGAGGTCAGTAAATGCTCATGTCACATTGTCTAAATGAAATGAATGGAGTTTTACGTCATACTTTTCTTCACTATGTGGGCTAATGAAGACGGTCACATTGTCTAACATTGTCACCAATCTGTAATGTAATCACAGTGTAATAGGTGTAGAATAATTGTTCTAGTAATTTTCATTTCAGTTCAAAGTATGTTTAGATAAGTGAGGTCATAATTCTGTCATGTTTTTCCATGGGTTCATCATTTCTGCCCAGTGGTTTAACAAGCTTATTTCCTTTAATGAAAATATGTTATATTTAAAAATAATAAAGTATAATACCTTACAAAACCATATTAATATCAAAATAATGCATATCTTAAAAAAATCTTGTCCTTTTTTTGCAGAGTGAGAGGAGTAAAAAGAAGACAAAGGTAAGACTATGAATGGTGTAATCCTGTAAATATCAAGACTGATTAACAATGTGCAATTGCATAGATATCAACTTCATCCTGTAAACTACAATTTTTAATATTATGTTTGTTTATAATTAATTGTTTACTTTTAGACTAACACTGGAATAATTACACCTGATACTAGTACAAGGTATGTGTTATTTTAAATCGGCTTGATAGGAACAGAGTTAATAATATTAACAGGGATAAGAGTTGAGAGATTGTAATGCCGTATATTGCCATCGTCCGGTCCTTCAACATTTCTTGTGAACACAATTGAGACTACAGTTTTCATCTGATATAAATGAAATTTGGTGTGATCAGTTATATTGATGAGATCTTGGACTGAATCGAATTTGACTATTTTTCAATGAACAGTTATTGAGTTATTGCCCTTGACTTCAAAAAGTGGCATCAAAATTTGTTTGTGAACACAACTGAGACTACAGTTTTCATCTAATTTAAAAGAAATTTGGTGTATTCATGTCTATTGATGAGATCTTGGACAGATTTGAATTTGACAATTTTTCGATGAAGGTTTTTTATAGTTATTGCCCATGACTTAGGAAATATGTGTCAAAATTTGGTGTGATCATTGATATTGATGAGATTTTGAACTGAATAGAATTTGACGATTTTTCATTGAAGGGCTTTTGACTTAAAAAAACGCATCAAATTTTGGTTGTGATGTCTGATTTTAATGAAATTGGGTGTAGTTTATATTGATGAGGTCTAGTTTGAATTTGATGCTTTCTTCGATAAATGGTTTTAGAGTTATTGTCCTTGACTGATAAAATATCTTTAAGGATTTTAAGACATCTGTCAAGTGATTTGATAATTTCAATTGATGTATTTGGGCTATTAATATTGATTTTGAAAAAAACTGAGCATAAATAACTGAAAATGAACAAATTCACACTACAAATGCAATATGAAGATCTTTGAAATGAGAAAATTCATATTTTAGCCACTAAAGATTTAATGATCATTTCTGCCAGCTGCCAGTGGGCGTATGTTACCTTGCCTGGCAGCAAGCTATCTATGATATTCATGATGTCTGCACATCATTAATCATGAAACAAAAGGTTGTCTTAAACGTTCTTGGTCACAGCAATTATTATCATTATTTTAAAATTTTAAAAGAGACTTTTAATAATACAAAATTTTAATTTTTTTTCTTTTGCAGCTCCAGTTGGACTGGTTGGTTGTTACCTTTAGGAATAGCAATAACTGCTGCATTGGTATATCGCTTTTTGCTAGCCCCATCTGCAGCTCACTAATAATACATCAAATAGACATTGTGATAAATACAGCTACAATATTTTAGATGAAAAATATAATCATAAACCAAACAATCTTAAGCTTGACTTCTCTGTGTATGGTTATTCATGTTATGCTGGGAAATGCTTATTTCTAACTGAAGACATGTGTTCAAAATTTTGCAATGGTTACTTGGTTCAAAACTTACATGTAAACATAGATACAACATAATTGTTACAAAGCTAGTTATATTTCTTGAATTATTATCATTTGGTCAAGTTCTTATTGTGCTGCGAAGAATCCCCCATGATTTGTCTATAGGATCCAAGTTGTGACCTATTTTCCTTCACATAATATAATACATCATAGTCTGTATGAATATATTTTTAGAAACTTATATTACATAAAAATAATGATATTTATAATATTGTATTCAAGTGTAACTATAGTTCTGAATTATGTACTGTAATCTTGTGTTATTTGTTTATCTTTTCCATTATATAGTTTCAGTACTGTCTTCTATGGAGCATTCCAAGTTGTTTGAGTTTCTCACAAATGATTCAGCTCATAATTATAAATATTTAGAATTTAGAAGATATATTACAAATGTAATGATTAGTAGTGTAGAGATATTTCATTGTAATTTTAATAAAGTTAATGTTTTATTTTGGTGTTTATTTCTATGTTGAATTTGGAAGCAAACGTAAAAAATCAGAAGCAGATTGTTGCATGTTTTTTTTCTGCAGGTTACTTGATCTGACAAGATTCTTAAGATTGTGTTCTGATTAATTTTGACCACAGCCATATACGCCCACCACGGCATGCGAATGGTAAATATTCAAGATTGTGGGGCAAGGGCAATAACTAACTGAGCATTTGATTAACTGAATTGTGAATCAGGATATGAGAAGCATACCAAATTTGTCAGATCGTAGGACAAGTGCAGTCACCTGTTGAGAAATCATGAAATGAAACATCAGGATTTGTATTTTATTTAGATTGATCTGAAAGGTATGCGATTATAGTCAGGCAAAGATATTTATGCACATCCTAGTTTGATTCAAAACATAATCAGTCCACACCATACAAAAAACTCATTGTTCTCATTAACACAGACATTATCAAAATATAAAATGGCCTGTTTTTGTTTTGACTCTTGTCTTTTTAGCTATAAATATTCAAATGACAAGATGTTTAGGCTCTGAATAAGGTCCTCCAGCAAAAAAAAAAAAATTAATACAAGTTACAGGTTGTTTACATTCATTCCCATATCTGCAGGAGAGCAGAATGTCTGGTTTTCATCTTGGAAAACTAAGAATAATATCTAATTTGATAATGAATGAGGGAAAGTGACTAAACTTTAAATAATTGGAGTGGCTGAGAAAATCCAGCACTGACTTGATAGGTTGAATATTTCAGCGACCAGCAGCTTGTGCATTAAAATTTCATCAAGATATCAAGCGGAGTCATCTGCAGATAAGCGGGAAATATTAATATCTGCAGATTCTATTCTGCCCTTAAAATTGAACCCATTTAACTATTATGAAAATATCTAGATTTTAACTTTTATAAACTATAAATAACATACATAAAAAAAAATGCAATCATTTTGATATGTATCCATACAGTTGAGAATCTCAATCTGAAGTAAAATATATGAATGTACAAAAAGTAAAATATTGCTTTTAACATATTCCACATACATACATGAATGAAATACATTGATAAAATCAATTGTTATCACAATACAATAATATCTAGAATATTTGACATGAGAAAATCAATGAAAATAATTGTTAATAGTTACCATTCATATATCTGATATTACATTATTGTATAAAGCAGTGTTAATATTTTCATATTTTTGTGACCTTGTATATCAGATCCAGTCTTAAGAAAATTCCCAAAACACATCTCCATACCTAGTTATGCCAGTCGTCTAAGAGTAAAAACACAAAATTTGTTTTGTCAATAATTCTGAAATTGGGTAATTCACAAATCACAGCCATCTAGTTCTAAGAAATTACAGGATATGCCCTGTTTCAAAGGCACTGTTTCCTGTGATATCACAGATTTAATATTACATAGTGGACAACTCTTGTAGGCCTTTTTTCCACATTAATAGATTAAAAATTTCCATTAGAAGATTGTCATGGATAAGTATAAATGTACATTATAGTCTATTCTAAACAATTGGTATTGGAATGTGTCATTTCTTGCAAGAATCTGAGGTTTTAATCTTTTAGACAAAATGGTAGTATTAACCAATGTTATCTCTTCCCTAATAAATATGTAATTTGATCAATAGGAACCTAGGTTGTATTAAATTGTGGTAAGTCTCCTTCAGCAATGTTGCAATAGGATCAATATTGTTGTATAAGGTTGTATAAAAGGCTACCAAAGACTGCTATATTGTATTGCAAGATGGTGCGTGTATAGGTTCAATAGTGAATCTATGAATTATTAAATTATTACTACTAGGTTGTAGTAGCGTAACTTGACAAGTAACAGAAACTAGGTTGAAAATTATCCTAGGTTGTAGTAGAATACCTTCAATAGTTACTATGTTGTATTATATAGTATTATCTCCTCTAGGTGGTGGTAATTGTAAGCTATTGGAAGATGATGGTAGAGTATTGATGGGTTCCCAAGTTATTCTGCTACTACTTGGTTGGTCAAAACTATCAGTTGTCATACTTCGCGTATTTGTATTGTTGTAAGCAGCTACACCTGAAATAACACAAAAATATGTTGAACAACTTGTATTCTTTTAAATTTAAGGATCTATTTGATGAAAAAGAATTATCTCTATCTGCATAATCTGAATCTTGATCAACAAAGGCTTGCATAATTGAAAAGCTGAATAAATTCTGCGTATTATATCTTTTCACTCTGCTAGCAGAGCGCTTTATTTGCGACTTTGGCCAGTGCTTTACATTGGAGTTTTTTTTAACTTCTTCACTTTCATAGTTTTAATATAAGTTCACAGCTTCTTTATTCAGATTATTATTGAATACTGAAATATGAATCTTTCACAAACCTGTACCCATTATGCCAGTAGAAATAGTTGGAATATGATCTAATTGATTGCCTTGACGTTCTCTCCTTCGTTGTTTAACAGTTTTTATTATTAAAACCAAAGTAATAAGAACTACACAGGCCAATACTGCTACTGTTATTGCAACTATTGTATCTGTTAATGATATTTCTGTATTTGGTGGCACTAATTTATTACCATGACCGTTATCATCATTATTCCTATACTGTATTGTTGTTGTGCTATACTGAGTAAGTGTACTATTTGAGATTTTCAGTTCATCTGTTTTGGTCATGGCAAATCCAAAAACCTCTTGTTAGAATTTTCTCCTTTTACTTTACGAGACCTTTTTCTCATTGTGTTTAAGCAAGCTTTTTATAGATGCAATCATTGCCATTGACTTTAATCCCAATCTAAAAATATATAAGATTCATAAACAAACTATACATGTATATAGTTATATTACAGTCTTATAATATTTCAATGGTTTACCCTTTAGCAATTTTTCAGCTGCCAATAATTTTCCCAAGTCACTGCCAGTGCTTTTTACCTACAATGGCTGCATCAGTGACAGTGTACAACAGGCAAGGCGCCAGACTGGATTGTTTGGAGGGGAAATGCCTATGGTGTTTAGTTGCAGATGCAGTTCCATTTTTTCCATAAGGAGTCTGGAAAGAATGTCTCACTGTCACAGTACCGGTATCCCACTGTCAGTGATGCAGGTGGGAGGGACTGACAGTGCCATGGAAAAAGCATCTAGTCGTTTGGATGGGTCAATAGAATAAATCAAGGCCCCTTGGCCGTGTGCTACAGGCTGCGCACATTAAAGTTCCCTCGAAGTTAGAAATTGCAAAAGAGCAGGCTAATGCCGCTGTCCTGGCAAAATTTCCCTCATTGCACCCTGCATATAATGGCGTTGTCCGTCTTCATTAACCCACATGGTGCAGAAGAGTAGGACGTAAAACTCCATTCATTTACTTTCATTTCACTGTCACTGTCACACTCACACTGTTTTTTTGAGAGAGATACTGTCAGAGAGAATCTATATTCTATGGCCAGCCCATTGATCGAGAGACCAGTAAACTCAGTTGAGGTCTAGACAGAATATTATCTACATTTGCACAAAATTGTTTCTGTCTCGTACCATATTCTTATCCACTTATGACATTAACACGTCTGTTAAAACTATAACCTCGTCCGTCAAATTTTTTCCACAGTAAACAAAATTATGAGTGTCTTCGTTTTATCCACAGATACGCACTGTGGTTCCTTATTCATTTCTTCTTTTTTCTCTCTCATTTTTGATCAAATCTGACATAATATATATAGCCAAATTACATCACAAAATTTTATCAATGTTTTTACTGTATTTTATAGTTTTAGAATAATGGAATGCTCTTTTAAATATTATGCTTGTAAATAAATAGTCGCCTGAACAGAAGTCATGATAGAGCGAACTAGCCAAGACGGAAGTTAGTCAAATCGACACAGTTCTAAATCAGTTCTATCAAAACGCCCTGAAATAAAATTAGGTAAGAAGGACTCCTAAAGAATGTCTATGCTCACTCCAGTAATTCATTTGCCATCTGTTTCCATGTTTAACCACAAAATTAAACCTTATATAACTTTTACCACAAACCTCGTTGAAAACTTTCCAATGTGTCACATGTAAGCCTGGTCAATACAAAGTTTCAATAGGCCCTTTGGATTCATGACCAAAATTCTATCAACAATTTCGAACATCAAATTCCAAATATAGATAAAAAATAATAATAATATGGCCAGTAAATTAAACCCTAAAAGGGAGAGAGAAAGATTATGCTAAAATCTGTTTTGGATACCAGGGATATTGTCAAAAGTTCGATTCAAAGTTCTTTCTAGCGTTTTGGTGAAAAACAAGAGGCGGAAAACTGGTCCGAATTTGGGCATTTAGTTGACAACTACCCCAACTTTGAGAGGCAGTAACTCCAAAGCGCACCCATTAAACACAGCTCTAAGACGCTAAGGTCCATTGTTAGCCTAACTTCCCTGCAAAGAACACGTCTGCAATGCAGCCCCTATTGTCTAACTATGGTAGCATGTTTTCAAACTTGTACCCCTGTTAATAGTCTGAAATTGACGGCTATCTTAAGTCATTTTGGTCAAGAAAATTTTCAGAAAATTTGTTTTTCTGATTTGACTAAATTTGAACTTGGGGATCCCAGGGAAGTCAAAAGTCCGATTCAAAGTTCTTTCGAGCGACAAACATGAGTCGAAAGCTGATCCGAGTTAGTAATTCATTAAAAAACTGGAAAATACCACCCAAAGAGTTCAACACCTATGCCCGAAATGACA